AGTGCTTCAGCAGTTTCCAGCAATTGACTAGCCCAGCCGGGAGGTTTGTCAAAAGCAGTGAAGACACGACTACTGTCAAGGTTAAACATGCTTCCCAAATCTGATTGGCTGGCCAGATTTGCCAGCCCGGGTAACCAGGGTGGCAGGTCCAGTATCTCACCAGGGGGCCCATCGTAATCGTAGTCTGTACAGGTGAAATTTGCGGTGCAAACGAGTGAACGTAGGTGTTTAAAGAAGCCCATGCTGGGTAGGGGTGAGGCTGTGATGTGACAGGCGGGATAGATGGAGGGCACTGAAATTGCTCTGATGCCAATTACAATGCATAGCAGGATCAGGGGTAGGAGGAGTTCGAAGACGAGGAAACCGGGCTGGCGACCTCGTAGGAGAAAACTCTTCCATAGCAGGAGGCGGTAGTGATGCCAGAAGCTGATTTTTCGGGGACCTGACCGTTCAACCAGGTCATATTCCTCGCTAGTTGACGTCTCGTCCATATCAATTGCACCTAAGGAGGAACAAATAAGCAAACTTGAGATAACAATCGCGTTCAGGAATGAGATCACCACGTGAAACTTCCCAGTACCGTGTATTACGGGACCGGTGTAATAAGAATTACCCAGTTTGGGCAGTACAGAGGAAACAAAAAAGTAGAGCCTATAAAAATAGAAAGGAAGGGAACAATTATTGGCAGAAGTGTCTTTGGTAGTGGTTTGATATGCTAAAAGGCGGAGGTCTCTGTCTTACGGGAAGCGTGGGAATTGGGGGTTTAAGGGTGGAATAACCTGATGGATGTGAAATGAAGGGTGATAAAATAAGTAAAAAAAGGGGTTATTTTTTTTAAAGTAATTTAATGCGCCGGCTATATAGTGAAGGCAATAAGGGGTCAATATTTGAAGGAAGCCACTTGACGATAAGAATTATTTTGAAATTGTGGCTCATGTTTATCAAGGGGTGTCGTGTGAAGGAAGTGGAGAAGGAGCTGCGCATAGGACACAAAGCAGCAGTCAAATGGTATGCCGTATGCCGGGACATTTGTTCAAGTGCGCTATTGAATGAAGAGGCGATCCTTGGAGGACCAGAAGTGGAGGTGCAGGTGGATGAAACCTTAATAAGCCGGCGGAAATATAACGTTGGATGGAGAAGAAGAAGACAACTGTGGCTGCTGGGCATGTACGATTGTGAGAAGAGGAAGGCAATTGTGGAGCAGGTTAACTACTGGAGTTGGCCGGCATTGAAAGGAGTGATCAAGAAGTGGATAATACCTGGCAGTGATGTGGTCACAGATGCGTGGAGTGGGTACTGTGGTCTGAAAGCTGAGGGTTACAAGCATGACACAGTCAACCACGGTAAACACTTTAATGATCCGAGAAAGAAGAAGCATACGAACGCTATTGAGGCGTACTGGAGCCGCCTGAAAGGGAAGCTACGAGAAAGTGGTCCTGTCCTTGGACGATTAAAATTGGCGCACGTGGATGAGGTGCAGTATCGGTTGTGGTTTGGTTTGCATTCAATGGATGTGAAATGTGCGTGGGACTTACTCTTGAAGCATGTTGCAGATGTTTATGGATGCGCGAAGAAAATGGTAAGTTTGCATTTTTAAAGATCGTTGGTTTTTGTTAATGTAGTTCGGTGTTGGTTTTCAGCGTGTTTGTGTTTGTGTGAGTGAAGTGTTGTTGGTGACGGTGCGTTTTGTTATTGAGAAAAGTACGTGTAAGTTATGTTTTAGAGTGGGTGAAACGATGACAATTTTTTTGTCAACTTTTTTTAACTGTTACGATGTAGTGTATTAACTTGGTAGCCTTTGTAAACGTTTTATAAATTATTTTTTTATGTTTAAGAAGGTTTTCTATTCTTGTCTGTCGATCAATTGATGCGGTGTTATCGTGGGCGAAGTGATATTTATTATTAATGTTGATCGTTTGATGAGAAAATGCGTTAGCCGTTGTTTGGCGGCGCCAGATGTCATGATGGCGTCGTGTAATGCGAGAAATCCGAATATACGACCGTGCGAGTGAAGGTATTTGTGGAGCCTGTGGGTCGATTGTTGATCATGTTGAGGACGCAGTTGATGATGATGAAGCGTGGTTTTTTTTGTTGTGGTGAGTGAATGTGTAGCGGGTCCTGCCTGACTGACTAGCTCGCGTCGAAGTGCACTTTCCCA